TCCAGCGATTGAGGGAATGTAAATTGAAATCTTTCAACAAGCTGATACAGCACTGGAGGCACTCAATCACCTATGACAGGAAATTTGGAAGACAGCTACCTGGCCAATCGATTGGATGAGATCCTTTTTTGTGCCCATACCAAAGGAATGCAGAAATCATCAAACAATATCATTAACATCACATGCAAGCAAAATTTTGCTGAAGATACTTTAAAAAATGGTTGCAATAGTACATTGACAAGGAACTGCCAGAAAATAAGCCAGATTCAGAAGAAGACATGGAAATAGATATACCACTGCTAATGTCAGATGGATCTTAGTTGAAAGCAGAATACCAGAAGGATGTTTACTTGTGTTTTATTGAATATGCAAAGGCTTTAACTGTGTGGATTATGGGAAACTATGAATAACATTGTAAAAAACCAGGTATTCCAGAACACTTAATTGTGCTAAACAGGAACCTGTACATAGACCAAGAGGCAAATGTTAGAACAAGAGGATGCTGGTTTAAAATCAGAAAAAGTGTGTACCAGGTTTGTGTCCTTTCACCATATTTATTCACCCTGTATGCTAAGCAAATAATCTGAGAAGCTGTATTATATAAAGAAGATTGTGGCATAAAGATTGGAAGACTCATTAACAACACGCAATATATAGATGCCACAACCTTGTTTGCTGGAAGCAAAGAGGACTTATAATACTTACTGATGAAGATCAAAGACTATATAGCCTTCCATATGGATTGCACCTCTGTGTAAATAAAACAAAAATCCACACAACTGGACCAATAAATAACATCATGATAAATGGAGAAAAGATTGAAGTTGTTAGGATTTAAATTTTGCTTGGATCCACAATCAATACTCTGTCAAGAATTCAAATGACATACTGTATTAGGTAAATCTGCTGCAAAAGATCTCTTTAAAGTGATACCAGTTTGAGGTGATTGAAAATGCCATGGCTTGGGTCAGACACACCTTAGTGCTTAAACCGACTTCTTTGCTCTTCAACACTCTAAAGAGGTCTTGTGCAATAGATTTGCCTAATTCCTGACCCAAGTCATGGTATTTTCAATTACCCATATGTACATGAAGGTGGACAATGAATAAGGCAGACCATAGAAGGACTGATGCATTTGAATTATGCTGCTGGTGAAGAATAATAAAAGTACCCTGAACAGCCAGAAGAACAAACAGATCCGTCTTGGAAGAAGTACAGCCAGAATGCTCCTTAGAGGCCAGAATTATTATGAGACTTTGTTTTTCATATTTCGGACACAGTATCAGGAGGGACCATTCCCTAGAGAACATCATATTTGGCAAAGTGAAGAATCAGCAAAAAAAAAAAAAAAAAGAATCCCCTAAAAAGATGGACCAGCCTTAAACACAACAATAATTTTGAGGATGAAGTAGAACCAGAAAGTGTTTCTTTCTGTTGTGCATAGAGCCACACTATTAGAATCAGCTGGACTGCACCTAACAACAACTAACAATGACTAGTCAGCTGATGTTTAACAAAGGGTCAAAATACATTAAATAGGGAAGAGATAGCCTCTTCAACAACTGACGCTGGTAGTTTGCAGAAAAGTGAAGCAAGCCCCATATCTCACATAATATAAAAAATAACCACAATGTTGATTTAAGACCTAAATGCCAAACATAGAACTGTAAAAGATCATCAATGAAAACAGAGGGACCAGCCTGGAACAGCTAGAGTGACAGAAGACACATCTTCAAAGAAAAGCCACCAGGAAAAACCCAAAACAAAAATGGATGGCTACTATGTAACCATACTAAGTATGACTGGCTCTACAAGAATAAGCAAGCTTTTCACTGGGAAGCCATCAAGGCAAGCAATCAAGTTCCCTCAGGACAAACCCCCCTCTAAGACTGAAACTCAAAGGGAACACATGAGCAGGCATGTAAGCTAGCTGATGACCACATTGGTCTATTGGTGAGTAGAAGAGTAGGTAGCAATGAAGAAATGGGCTGAGTTTGACCACATTCCATGGACTCCCATTGACCTGGAGATGAGAGAGAGAAGAGGAAGGGATGATTGTTCCAAAGTGTGGTGAGACCTGGGGACACCTGAGCCCATGGACAAGGACATAGCCACAGAGGGCTATAGCTGAGAGCAAAGCATCCAGCTGATATGAAGTGAGGGGAAAGGCACAAGAACACCGAAACTTGCAGACAGTACCCATTTGACCTAGCCTCGATGGCTTGATGATCAGAAATGGACTAGAGGAAGATTTTTTTAAAAGTTTTGATAAAGGAAACGAGGGTAAATTGCTACAATTTGATGAACTTGACCTATACTCATGGAGGTAGTAGCTCTAAATACCAACAGAGAGGGAAGGAATCTTCCCATCAAGTATCAATGCTATCCCCTTTGTACACAGGGTAGATAGGGACGGGCAACTTAGACACTGGCTACCTAAAATGAGGGGGCAATAAAGGCACGAAGTGACTGGCTTACAAGGTTTCATGATGGAGTTTAGTTTAAGAGTGTGTGAGGGAAGATAGAGTCCTCACTGAATAGTTTTCATCTTGTCTAGATGGTGCTGGTAAAAAGAGATGGGGTTAAGATTCTTATGATTCAATAGTGAATAATTGTTATCATGACTAATTGCGACTGTCACTATTGTAAAGGTAGAAGTTTTGTAACAAACCAGGGGAGTAGTTAATCTTACAGTCCAGAAACAAAGGACCCTAGGACCATCAAGGGAGAAGAGCACAAGCGCAAGGTGGGACCTTATCCAGAGATGCAGAGGTACCATAGCTGGTGGCAGAGATGGGGACATGGAGAAGGGGAGCAGCTCAGGACTCTAGAATTATGGGAAAAGAGGGACTGAGAGCCGGAAGCCAGGAGGCAGACTTGAAGAAATGTGCCCCTAGGTGGTGTAAATTATTATATATGCCTGAGTATTTTTTTTTTTTTAAAGAGTTAAATGAATAGAGAGAAATACTGTTAACTGATGGTACATGGAAGGGATTATAATCATTGTAATGAAAAAAGGTATATGATTTGTTTAATGTAAAACTGATATTATATCTATCCTGTAAACTTTCAATTCACAATAAAAACATTAAATAAAAACGAAACAGAGTGACAATCTTAGGAGTTCTGATATATGGCATAAATATAGTATCAAACATAAGTGAAAACACACCATCAGTAAAAGACGAACTAGATGAGTGGGACATCCTAAAACTTAAACACTATGTACATCAAAAGATTTCACCAAAACAATAAAAAGAAAACTCACAGACTGGGGAAAAAAATTTTGACAATGACATATCAGACACTATGCTTTGTGAAATTAGTATATCAGAAAAGGACAAATATGGTATGAAATCACTATTGTTAAAAAAAAATTTTTAAATTAAAAGAAACCCCAACCAACTCAAGAGAAGGTTTTAATGCTAAAAGAAATTTTCTTTGATGGTTATCAGGTATAGTAGGAAATGGAGAGTAATTCATTGGCTAGAGAGTAGACATGTATTAACTTGGGTGACAGAGAAAGCAATATATAAGAGAGAGGTTGACAGAAGAATGATGAAGACAGGGGACAACACAGGGAAGAGTACAAGAGTTTAAGAGAATATAATCACCCTTCAAAATGTTTTACCTCCCTCTCCCTTACACACATACACACCACATCCCCTTTTGTTCCAGTATACTATAATTTCTGAAACACACTACTATCAATTGCCTTGAATTCCTTTCATAATAATCTTTCCTCAAAATAAATGACATCTCTGCATGAAGTATTCTCATGTTGTTGCTGTTGTCAGGTGCCATCGAGTCGTAACCGACTTATAGCGACCCCATGCACAACAGAACAAAACAATGTCCAACCTCACTACCGCTGCCACACTTGACGCCATCAATGATGCCACCTGCTGACCCTCCATCTTACCCAGCATGACATCCTTCTCTAGCGACTGTTCCCTCCTGACAATATGTCCAAAGTATGAGAGACGAAGTTTAGCCATCTTGGCCTCCAAGGAGCATTCTGGCTGCACTTCTTCCAAAACAGATCTATTGGTTCTTTTGGCAGTCCATAGCACTTTTAGTATTCTCCTCCAACACCGCAATTCAAAGGCATCAATTCTTTTACGATCTTCCTTATTCAATGTCCAGCTTTCGCATCCATATAAGGCTATTCTCATGTAGAACCATTCATTTTTGCCTCAAAATTACACATCATGCAGCACTTGATTTAAATTTAATCACTCCATTGCAGTCCAGTGAATTATTTCATATGGCTTTTCTGCCCACATCCCTTGGAACTCCCACCAAACAACTTTTTCCTGATGGGTCTGGGTAAGAAAAGGGAAGAGAAGATGTTGATAGGAAGGTATGATTCAGCTGTGATTATTAACAAAGTTAATTGTGATTGTAGAAATGTGGAACTCTATCCTGTGCTTAAAGCAGGAGTGGGGATCTCACTACCATCAAGAAGGAAGAGTCAGGAGTGGAGTATGCTCTTTGGACTCTGAGATTGCTGTGAACCTCCTCAGTCCAAGGACAGAAAGATGTGAGAGAGGAACAGCAGCACAGAATCAAGAACCAGAGCATGAGACAGGAGTAGGCTTCCCAGTAGGAGGCTTACTTATGAAAGGGTGCTTCCAAGTACTTAATTGGAGGAGCTAGGGCTTCTGACCCATAAAACTAGAGTTTAGTGAGCTACTCAAAATACCTGAGAAAATGCTATGTACATAGTAGACACACTGTAAACATCTATGAAATGTTTGAATAAAAAGGAATGATATGACATGAGTAAATTTGCATGTATATTTTCCAATTTTCCATTGAAAAGACAAAGGAACAATTTAACTGAGTGAATTACTGAAAGGCCCTCCTGCCAGTGCTAGAACACTGCTACCAAATTGAAACAAAGTTGTGTACACATGCCTATGTCACCAAGAGAACACAAGGAGTTTCAAAGCAGTTTTGTTGAGCTGAGGAATATATCTTACCCATGTTTCTATTACCTTTAAAAACCATTTCCCTACATTCAGAGTTGACAGGAAATCCCATGAGAAAGAGTCACTTCTGTTATAGTAGGCACTGGGCTTCACCTCCCAGATATTAGTTGTTCGTCTCAAGTCATGGTCATGAATGAGGAAAGGCACATTATCGGTACTGCAGACAGAGGGAATAAAAGAGAGAGAAGGGTGGATAAGTTGAACACAACTATCCTGGTAGAGAGGATCTTGGCAAGCTCATTAAGGTCACAAGCCTTACCCGACTCCTTCCTCCTTTGCAAATCTCAGCAAAGGACAAAACACCAGTCATTTATACATTGATATCAATATGCTCCCCTAGGAATCAGTATTTCATTATGATGTTTAGTAACCATACTGGAGATGGTGAAAGAGTAAATTCTCTATTCAGGGGATTTCTAGCATCAGAAAGCAGCCAGTACAGTAATGACCTAGGAGTAATGTGAGTGAAAGTGGGAGCCTTGAAGTCCCCAGGACCATAGGAAGCAGGTATCCACACAATCTGTGTTTCTATGTTTCCCTATCTAGGCACCTGCCCTGGGTATTTCTGGTCCCAGGCTTTTCATATCATATGATATCATTAGACATGTTTCTGGTACTGTTATGTGCTATTTACCTTGGGAAATCTCTGCTTCTATAAAAATATTTATATCTTGCCTTATAATTAATTATCTATGATAAGAACTTATGCAATGGTCATGAGGGAGTAACAGATTTGGCAGTTACAATTTTGTGGTAAACAACTGGAAATATTTTTTTCAGTCAATGGGAGCACAGCACTGTATCTCTGAAATAAAGGAAATAACGAGATAATCCCTACAAATATACAGACTTTCTTCTGGCAAGCAAATATTAGGCTGTGGCAAAGAGAGGTGAAACCTAAAAGACCCCAACTACAAATCCCACTTTGCTTCTTTCACATTTCAGTCATCAGTAATTATCAATTTGTTAATAGTCAGGGTCCTAACCTCAAGGTCAGCAGTTTGAAACTACCAGCTGTTCCACAGGAGAAAGATGAGGCTTTCTGCTCCTGTAAAGATTTACGGCCTCAGAAACCCATACAGGGTCGCTATGGGTTGGAATCAACTTGACGGCATATAACAACAAAATATGATAATTAAAATACCTAGTCATCTTTTCCTTCACAACTTTTGTGAGCCATAGTCAGTTCTGACTCACAGCGAATCTGACAGGCTTTCCAAGAGCAGCTGATGGGCTTGAACCACTGACCTGTGGCTAGTAGTCCAGTGCTTATCCTGTGATAATTAAAACACCAGATCATATTTTCCTTCACCCCTAATAGCATTTAATTTCTGTCTGTGTAAAATAGGTAAACCCATTTTCATTGCCATTTGTATTATAAAGATCAGAATGAATTCAATCCTGCCCCCACCTTTCTACTTCTTCATCCTAATTGAAAGTTGTCCCTGTGACATTCTCTCTCCGGTCAGAGCAATCTACAGCTAGGTCAGTGCTCATAAATTCAAAAGTTACTGTCTGTCCTTCAGAATGTCTAAGTTACTGGTTTGGGGATTCACAGGACACCCCAACATTCTGACCACAGAGTCAGGGGCTGGTTTCCCATTCCTCCTTCAGGTAGTCAGCCTCAACCTCCAGAGTTCACATGATACTCCAACCTTCTGACCAGCTGACTCAGAATGCCCTTTTGGATTTGACAATTTACAAGAGTGATTCACAGAACTCGTGGAGAGTACATCATACTTATATGACTAGAGATTTATTAATCCCAGCACACACACCGCCGCCCCCCCCCCCCAAAAAAAAAGACACAAAGGAAGAGACACAATAGAGCAAGCTCTGGAAGGGCTTCCAATGTGGAGTTTCCATATTCCAAGGGATATGCTATCCTTTTAAGAGTAGATGTTCTCTTCAACCAGGAAGCTCTCTGAACCTCTGTGTTCAGGCTTCTATCAGCCAGTACAGAATTAGAAAGAAAGAAAAAACCAATGAGAAGGACTGACATAGTGGCTGAAACAACGAATTCAAATATGACAAGTGTGAGGATGGCCCAGGACAGGACACTATTTTGTTCCGTTGTACACAGGACTGCTGCTATAAGTCAGACTGTCTCAATGAAACCTAACAACACTGCAGGATCGGCTACATCAGCCTCCTGAAGCAGAGAATAGCAGTGAGATGTCTACTTGTGCTTTATTTATTGACTACACAAAGGCATTCAACTCTGTGAATCATAACAAAATATACATACCACTGAAAAGAATGGGTATTCAAGAACACTTAATTGTATTCATGAGGAACATGTACATAGACCAAGAAGGAATCATTCAAACAGAAGCAGCCATTTGAACAGAACAAGGGGATACTGAATGGTTTAAAATCAGGCAAGATGTGCATCAGAGTTGTATCCTTTCATCATACTTATTCAATTTATATGCTGAGTAAAAAAATCTAAGGAGCTATATTATATGAAGAAGAATGTGGCATCAGGATTGAAGGAATCTTCATTAACATCTTGTGGTATGCAGATGACACAACATTGCTTGCTGAAAGTGAGGAGGATTGAAATACTTATTGATGAAGATCAAAGACTACAATCTTCAGTATGAATTACACATCAATGTAAATAAAATTGCTGAAACTGGACCAATAAATGTTGTTGTTGTTAAGTGCCGTCGAGTCAGTTCTGACCCATAACGACCCTGTATAGGGTTTCCAAGAAGCAGTTGGTGAGCTTGACCCACCTACGTTGCAGTTTCAAACCAACCTTGCAGTTCAGCACATTAACCCATAGTACCATACCAGGACTCCAATAAATAGCATCATGATAAACAGAAAAGATAGAAGCTGTCAAAGACTTCATTTTGTTCAGCATAACCATCAACATCCATAGAAGCAGCAGTTAAGAAATCAAATGACATATTACATTATGCAAATCTGCTTCAAAAGACCTCTTTGAAGTGCTAAAGAGCAAAGATGTCAGTTTGAAGAGTAACGTTTACCTGACCCAAGCCATGATATTTTCAATTGTCTCATATGCATGTGAAAGTTGGATAATGAATAAAGAATATGGGAAAAATACTGAATGATGAATAAAACATCAAAAGAAGATGGCACTGTATGAAAAAGAAATGGTCAATATTCAACCATTTCAAGAGGAAAAATATGATCAAGAACCGATGATACTGAAGGAAGAAGTAAAAGCTTCACTTAAGGCCAATGGTGAAAAACAAGGCTTCAGGAATTTATGAAATACAAATTTAAATGTTTCAACAAACTGATGCAGCGCTGGATGTGCTCACCATCTATGCTAAGAAGTTTGGAAGACAGTTACCTGGCCAACTGGTTGAAAGAATCCTATTGGTGTCCATTCCAAAGAGAGGTGACCCAACAGACTGTGGAAGTCATTGGACAATATCATTAGTATCACATGCAAGTAAAATTTTGCTGAGGATTAATTAAAAAATGGTTTCAACAGGACACTGAGAGAGAACTGCCACAAATCCAAGCTGGATTCAGAAACAGACATGGAACTAGGGATAGCATTGTGGAAGTCAGATGGATTTTGGCTAAGAGGAGAGAATACAAGATGTTTATTTGTGCTTCACTGACTATGCAAAGGATGACTGTGGATCATGACAAACTATGAGTAACAGTAGAAAGAATGGGTATTCCAGAATGCTTAATGGTGCTCTTTGGAAACCTGTTCTTAGACCAAGAGGCAGTTTTCGAATTGGACAAGGGATATTAAATGGCTTAAAATTAGGAAAGGTGTGCACCAGGGCTGTATGCTTTCACCATACTTAAATAGGCTGTATGCTGAGTAAATAATCTGAGAAGATGGATTACATGAAGAATGTGGCATCAGGATTGAAGGAAGATTTATTAACAGTCTACAATATGCAGATGATACAACCTTGCTTGCTGGAAGTGAAAAGGACCTAAAATACTTACTGATAAAGATCAGGGACTGCAGACATCAGTATGGATTTCACTGAAATGTAAAGAAAACAAAAATCCTCACAACTGGACCAACAAATAGTGTAATGGGAAATGGAGAAAAGATCAAAGTTGGCAAAGACTTCATTTTGCTTGTATCTACAATCAACATCTATGGAAGCAGCAGTCAAGAAATCTAATGACACACTGCACTAGGCAAATCTGCTGCAAAATACCTCTTTTAAAAAAATGTTTAAAAGCAAAGATACCACAAGAGGGAGCCTAGATCCAGAGGGCACGGAGGAAGGTGGAATCTCTACTGAGTAGTACCCAGTATGTCTGGCGGGGCTCATGAAAGGAGATGCAAATAAGTCTCTTGTTATACAATAGTGAATAATTGTTATCAGGTCTGATTGTGAGGGTTGGAAATGTAAAGGTAGAAGTTTTGTAGCAAAAGGAGGGGAGTGATTGACTCCTCAATCTAGGAGCGGAGGTCCCTGGGACCATCAAGAGAAAAGAGCGGAGAGCAGGACCCTACCAGAGAAGCAGTAATGTCAGAGATGGAGGCAGACATGATGGCATGGATAAATGGAGTGGCTGGGGACTTTAGACCCAGAGAGGGAGAGGAGCTGTGTGCTGACGACCAGGGGGCAGGCTTGCAGGCTATACCCTCTGGTTGATGATGCATGGAGGGGATTGTAACCATGGCAATGAAATGATATACAATAGGATGAATGTAAAGCTAATGTTCTCCCATGTAAACTACAACAAAATTCACAATAAAACATTTTTAAAAAAAGCAAAGATACCAGCTTGAGAACTAAAGGTGCATCTAACCCCGACCATGGTATTTTCAATTGTCTCATATATATATGAAATTTGAGCAGTGAATAAGGCAAACCATAGAAGAATCAATTAATTCAAATTACTGGGTTAGTGAAGAACATTGAAAGTATCATGAGCTGCCAGAAAAACAAACAAATCTGTCTTAGAAGAAGTACAACCAGAATGCTCCTAAGAAACAAGGTTGGTCAGACTGTTTCTCATACTTCGGACATTTTATCAGGAGGGACCAATCATCGGAGAAGGGCATTATCCTTGGAAAAGTGGCTCATTAATAAAAGTGAGGAAGACCTCAATGACATAGATTGACAGGGTGGCAGCAACAACAGGTTCAAACACAAAAACAAAAGGCAAGATTGGCACAGGACTGGGTAGTGT